TTTTTTGCCATTTTGTAATTACAGGGATTTTTTAATAAGCACTGCATTATATACTCTTATGTCAACAATGCACATTTATTGTATAACAATCCTGATTAAAAGTAGACAGACACAAACATCCATGCTTGAACTGTACTTTGAACTTTCAAATCTGGCAAACTGCAAACATTGACTTAAACTCTATTACTAAATTTGCTTGTATACTTAGTTGATTTGGAACATAAGACTGATTTACTCTTGTGGCCAAACTGAAGAATATTCCAGTTGTTCTAAAATTAATGAGGCAACCTACTGTTCTGGAGGACCAGAATTGAATCTGGACAGGTCAAAAAATCCCAGGAATTTTTCAGGTGTATTCTGTCCAGATATGTCAAGCTCCATTCCTCACCACCTGGCTGCTCCATCATGGGATTGCTAAAATAAAGCTTTCTTAGTGCTTACAGGGCAGAAAGAGTTAAAACAGAAAAATAAATATAATAATTATTTTATAACTATTATAAGACAATGGATTTAAATTATTATGGGATTAGTAATTTTTTTGAAGTTTTTATATATCTACTGCTGAAATTAAAACTAATAAAACAGTTATTTATAAATATAATTTTAATAATTCACAATATATTTTGAACCTAATTTTTTATATTTATAAGTTATTCTCCTTTCATTTTAGTATTAACAATTAAACAGATATTTTCATTTAAGTAATTGATGTGAACTAAAGTACTACTTCGGACTTTCAATGAATAATAGAAAAAATTATGATAAATACATTCTCTCATCATTTCTCTCTGAGAATAATTCATTAATAATTATACTAATTAGGCAGCCATTAATCTAGTTCCTATTTGAAATAATTCTGAACATGGTTTCTAATTATTTTTTAATTATGTTCTAAACAAATATAAAATTAGAATTTTACTAATTATACAACTATTGCATGTGGAAGAAATGTTAATGCAGTTCTTAGTTTTGTAAATGATGAATGACTAGTCACTATTTATTATTATCGTATAATTATCAACCAATTAATTTCTCGTACTGTACACTCTCTTCCTATGCTTTCTTGGAGATGAAAAATGAAAGATGATGCTTTGAGATGGCCTGAAAAGAGTATAGTTTAAATGAGGTACTTTTTATTCTTGATCTCTAAGAGAGCAAAGACAGAGAAAGGTCATGTAATCACAATGTTTAAAAAAAATTACAACAGATTTATATAAATAACTAGCTGTATGAGTCTGGAGTAACTCAGGCTTCTGGGGAGAGGGGATTGGTAAAGTTGGTTGGGAGAGAATGGTAAAAAACAATGATTTTAGTAATTAAAATGTACATTTGTTAGTGTGAATATTTACAATAATGAAGCTGCAAAACACAAAAACTTGCTTGGGCTTAAGTTAAGAGGGGATGGGTGTTAGAAGTGGTTGGAGGTAGGACCTCCCACGCTATTTTTTCTAGGGTGTTGAAGAATATTCTTGCCAAATATGGTGTGGATGCTTGAACAGTATAGAACTCTTTACCTAACATACTGTACATACATACATATTTTGACTTTATATATTGATTGTGTGTAAAGTACTGTACACTAAATGATATGCTTGTGCCTAGTGCACTTTCTATGTTTCTAAAGAGAAAAATTCTCTGAATTCTTAAGATTTTAAAACACATTATGTAATGAAATCGAATTGCAAAATTAAAATATTGATTTATAAACATAAAAATGATATAATTTCAAAAATATCTGTGCCAGTATCATTGTATAATTCATTTTATCTTAAACTGGAAAAGTTTATTTACAGTAAGTATAAATAAGTTAGTGATATTTAATATAAAGATTAATATGATAAATCTAGATAAATTGCATTTGATAAGAAAAATATACCTCTATAAGTTTTTTAAATCAATAATCAAATTTTATAAGGAAAAATAAATAGATAAATAGAAAAGTTTTGGAAACAAAATTTAGTAATAGAAAATGTAGATCTTATATCTTATAAGAACTTCTGAATTTTATAATAATGGTTTCTAAACTATTGAGATCTACAGATTCCTTCCAAAATCAAAATTGTTTGCAGACCCCTTACATACAGATGTATATGTTTAAGTGTCTGTGTGTATGTGTGTGTGTGTGTATATATATATATAATGAATATAATATGTATATGCATTAAAAAATACAAAGAACCATAAGAAGTGAGCACTTATTTAATGTATTGTGCCAAAGATTTACTTTAGTCTGCAAAGTGATTTCTATTAGCTGAATGCCTAAATGATTTGTATATGCTTAAGTATAAGTATGAATTAGTAGTGCAAATAAAATAGTTTAGAAACTGGATTATAATATAAAATAGCCACCAAATATCAAAACTCCACTTTTAAAACATAAATTTAATGTAAAATGAACATTTTCGGTTCCCTTAAGCATAGGACCACTTGTCATCAGCCTTTTTGTGGTGGGGTCTGAGAGAGAAGCAACTTTTAACACTAACTATACTGAAAATATGTAATGCTCTATAATGAAAAACATAATTATAATTAAAGATTCATTTTTAATTTTAGGATTCTTAAGTTTAAAGTTTAAGCATTACGTATTCCTTAAAATGTTCAATGATAAACCAAATTTAAAATAATACACATATAGATATTTAAACAATATAAATAATAAATTGAATAAATATATTCTACAAAAAAGTTATAAAAAATGTGAAATAAATAAATAAATTAAAAGAAGATGAATGAAAATATTGAAAAGAATTTAATACAGTTGCAAGTTTTCTATTTCAAACCAATGGTATATTTCACAACAGACAATAAGTCTTTGTACTTTTTTTTTTGTGTGTGTACATCTTCATGCTCCATTTGCAGACTTTTTTATTTTATTTCTCTCTCTTTCTCAGGAGCTATATTTTCACTGCTTCTTTGATTGTAAGTAGTGTTGTTGCTAATTTTAGATATTTGTCTTTTCATTATTTTTTTATTTCAGACTGTTTAAGAGTCACTAATATTATGCCATTGATTTCAGTTTTGGCATCATTAGCATGTGCTTTCTGTTGGATTTTTATTTTTTATATTTGTATACTAGATCAAATTATGGTTGTGCCTTAATTTTTCATATATTTATTTTACAGATTGGCTAAATTTTCAATATACATAGTTAACTTAGAAAAAATGACATCAGATCTTTGCTAGATTTCAATCAATTTACCTGGATACAAAAGTAAACTATACTACATGTAAATAGATATAGATGATTCAGCTATCAAGCTACTTCATTTTTGTATCAGTTGATTGATAGGATAAGGCAAGGCAATCTGCCAAGAGAACCATCCAGGAGGAATCTATGGGAAATTGGTCTCTATTTAGATGTTAGAAATGTGAAGAAAACCCAGAAAACTTAACACAGCCAGCCTGTTGGTTAGATTAAACTTACAACCAACTACCAGTGTTTAGTGGTGTTATCCATTTTTGTACCTCCTGGGGATGGGCTTAGTTGCTTGACAGTGCTGAAGAAACTATTACTTAATATGAGCAAGTTCCAATAAAGCAGATTTTGTGGTATTAAATTCATTATTTTACAACAAAATTTTCAGTCATTTGTAGTTTTATTAAAAAATTATTTTGCTGTGTTAATTTATTAATTTTACTTTTTTTAATGTTATAGAATATTGTAATATTTTGTATTAAGTCAGCCAACAACAATTCCTATAACTACTAACAATCAAATGTATAATTAATCTGACTAATAATTACAGGGAGTATGATAGCACATTTAGAAAATGAAAGTACCTGTACATCTACCATATTTGCTAAATTACAATATATTAAACTTCCTGAGACGTAAAATTGGAAAAAAAGAAATAGATAATTTTTTAATATTAAAGCTTACATACTGTAATGATACATAAATATCAATAGTCAATTACCATCATGTTATATTATTAAAATTAATCAAATCAATTTAAATGATACATGTAAAAAGTGCACTTTTTGTGTGAAATTAAAAAAATACTAAAGATATTAAACACACCCTTTAATAATCTCATTGTTAATAAGATAGTTTGGAGTTTTAGTATTAATTATTAGGGATTGGATTCCTAAAAATATGGATTGAAAGGTAAATAAGTGTTTTTGAAAAGCTTTAATTCATTAGGGGTAATTGGTTGGGGTTATTCAAATGGACCAGAACAAGTCAGAATATTTTTTTTTATAAGAAATACTGAAAAAACTTCCTGACATTCAATTTGTTTTCAGAAACACATCATATTTGTACATATTATGGCTGTAGTCTACATTATAAAACAGGTTCCCAATTTTTTTTGCTTGTTGACCCTTTTCCAAAATTAGAACCCTTAATTGCTAGACTCTTTCTACTCTGAGACACAATGTAATTTATTCAAATTACAAACATTCTTTTTTAAGTTGTTGATGAAATGAAAAGTAAATAGGAATCAATAATACTTTCTTTTATGAAACGTAAATCAAAATTCAAAATATGTATGTTTTACCTTACTAAAATATATAATAAAGCCTATATNATAAATTTAAATGCCTTCTTTGATGAAAAATGAATATATACTTGGATATACTGCCATGATAATAATAATCTCTTATTATTTACAAAGACTATACATGAAATCCAATTCTATATGACAAAGTATAAGTTAATTTGTATTCATTGTAATTGCCATCTGAATTTTCTGTAATGTTAAGATTTAGAAATTGGATAACTTATATTTAAGTTTGATCATTTTTGAATTGATATTGCAGAAATATGATATTTTATATAATTACATTTATTTTATACTTTTATACTGAGATATAAATAATCTTTACTCTTCTTTATGAAGTTTATAAAGAGGAAATTACTTTCTTATGTGAAATGTTTAAATTAAAATTAAGATACCTCATGGTGTTAATTCTTACAAGTGATAGGTAAATGAAATAAATTAAATTGCTTATATTACAAATAACAATCATTATGTCTTCAAGAGAAAATTTACTTTCAGGATATGAAGTTTCTGTTTTTATAAGAGATCCTGCCAAATTACCTGCAGATTTAAAACCACATAAAGTTTTTGTTGGTGATGTTTTAAATCAAGAAAATGTAGATTCTGCAATAGAAGGTCAAGATGCAGTAGTAGTAACTTTAGGAACTAGAACTGATTTGGGTAAGAATTTTTGACTTTTCTCAAGTTACTTTTGAATCTCATTTGTATAACTTCTTGATTTGAGGAAACTTTTTTATTTTACATTATTATATAACAGAAAATTTTATTTTAGGAATGTAATAACATTTATGTTCCATTTTATTATTCAATACAAAACATTTAACTTAGTATTTTTACATACAATACTTCATTTTAATTCACTTTTATCTCAGAATGTTTACATTGATAACAGAAATTAAAATATTAAAATTTTTAATGACATATTAAACTACATATTAATTAGACAACAAAAAGAATGAAATAATTTATTTTGATTCAGTCATTATTGGAGATATATATTTATAATAATAAAATTACAATTGTATAACATAACTGCACAATTTTATTTTTTTATAATGTTTGAAGTTGTTAGTTTAAATAGGAAATCAACTTGAAAAGAATTTTGCCAGCAAGGAACTTGCCAACAAATTTATTCTGAGCCATTTTGGTTTAATTAGGTAACATTTTGTGACAAATAGAATAAGAATTGGAACTGCAATTGTTTTGATGAGGAAGTAGAAAACAACATAGTTTTAAATGTAAAGCATCAAATTGTTTGGTTTTTATATAGATTATTTCTTCTTTTATAGTATTTTTCTTTTTAATACACTTATATTCTGCATTTAAACATTTAAAAAGAAACATTGATATGAAATTTTAACATTTAACTATATTATATTTGATTAAATAACACATTTATCAAATATAGATGACAATAATACTAATACTATATATATTTCATAATTTTTCATTTTAACTTTTCTATAATTCACATATCTTGATTTTAATCTGTTAAAATTAAAATTTGAATTGACTTAGGCTACATGAATAAATCATATATTTAATGTCTAAACCAAGCATTTCATAATTTATAAAAAGTATCATTGAACAAATATCATTTGTTCAATGATACTTTTTATAAATTATGTATTACAATTTGTGTAATTTAGAGAAAAATTAATTTGTCAGTTTGCTTTACATTTTTGAAAATTCCTTTAAAGAAAATACATTTATCAATTTAAATATGTTATAATTATTAAATTTTAATTTTAATTTTTAATAATTTAAATTATTCAAACTATTTAAAAATTTAATTAGATTTAGCTAGAAAATTTATTGACGTGTGAATTATTTTATATTCATATGAATATAATTCAATTTATTGATGTTATAACTTGATTTAATATAACATCTACAACAAGAAAATGTTATTTCTACATCTAAGTTGTTTTCTTATTTATTCAAGCTATAATGCATCATGAATGCACAACTATAGTATAGAAATTGAATTATTTTTAAAATAATTTACATAATTAATTTGTTATATGCTTAAACAAACTGTAGATGTTTTGTAATAGTTGAGAGTATTTATCAGTAAAAATTAATACAGAAACTAACATAAATAGCAAACTTTTTTAATTCTCATTATATAATTATTAACTCTGCATAAAAATTTATGATAGTCAGAATTTATTTATTCAAATCTAAACTATTCTATATGTGACTGATATGAAATCTGAAGGAATTTCTTGCTACTTAATGAAATTATATACTGTACATATTATTTAATATATCTCACTACATTTAAGACTATTTATTGTTATGGCAGACAAACATTGGTAGAATGAAAGAAATGATGTATGTGTGTATATATATATATATATCATGCTGGGTGAAAACAATAGCTGGCTTAGTGCTATAGAAGAAGGCCATGAGCACAAGACATCTCCAGTCAGTACCATGAGTGAGATGTATGGTTTTATCTAAATTAATACTTCTGGAAGTGAAGATTGCTTAGAGACCTGGCTAGCATAACTGAAATCTTATATAGATTCTGTAGTTCATATACAATTTAGCATTCTCTTTCTTGAATGTAGAATTAATCCAAGATTCTCATTAGCTTAGCACATATTTGATATTCAAAAATTGCCAGTTATTACATAAATTTAAATGCCTTCTTTGATGAAAAATGAATATATACTTGGATATACTGCCATGATAATAATAATCTCTTATTATTTACAAAGACTATACATGAAATCCAATTCTATATGACATGGTATAAGTTAATTTGTATTCATTGTAATTGCCATCTGAATTTTCTGTAATGTTAAGATTTAGAAATTGGATAACTTATATTTAAGTTTGATCATTTTTGAATTGATATTGCAGAAATATGATATTTTATATAATTACATTTATTTTATACTTTTATACTGAGATATAAATAATCTTTACTCTTCTTTATGAAGTTTATAAAGAGGAAATTACTTTCTTATGTGAAATGTTTAAATTAAAATTAAGATACCTCATGGTGTTAATTCTTACAAGTGATAGGTAAATGAAATAAATTAAATTGCTTATNTTGCTGTATATCAGGTAAGTTTTTATGTACAAAAAATTGCCAATAAAATCTTAACCTTTCTAAGATTATTAATGTTTTTACAGAAATATAATTCATTTCCTCTCCAAATAAAGTATAAATGAGTCTAATATCAATAAAACTTTTTTAAATATTAATAAATTGTCAATTGTCTACAAATGCCAATACCAGCAAAAATATACTGTAAACTAACATTGTATACATAAGATAATGGAATGAAACAAGATATTTGAAGAAAACTCATATATCTTTTTTTTTTTTCTCTGGTTATTCATGTTTACAGGGTGATTTATTTAAATATTAATTTCTAAAACTTACATTAAGTTCTGTTATTTATTATCTTTAATATTAAAGTAATAATTAAATAATAAAACTACATCACACATTTTTTAAACATAAAACATTTTATTTTTTTGAAATAAAACAAACATATTTTTAAAACTTTCCTTGAAATAAACAGTTGTTGTAATTTATGGATAAAAATAAAAACTAAATTTTTGTTGATAGGAAAGACAATTATAGAAATGTTTGTATTTTAAAATTTAGACTTTGCACTCAATTTTAAAAAACAAACATTTCTATAATTGTCTTTCCTATCAACAAAGATTTTTAAGTATTGTTCATTCAGCATTATACACATGACTATTGTTTTCTTTTGCTGTAGATGTTTATATGTGCTGTTAAGATTGAAGTTTTATATTTGTGTTTTCATTGGGTGAAATGGTTTTTGCACTTTGTTTTTGCTAAAATTATTGAAATTTTTTCTTTTTGTTGAGTAAAACTTATATAATTAACTGTCTTTTATGTACAAATCTTAGGTCTTTCCACAGTGTTTGAAGGTATTCTTAACTTATTATAAATTCTTGCTTCTTATAAGTAGATGAGCCTAGTTCATTTATTTCAAATAAATTAATACATATGATTGCTTAAATATTTTGTTATAAAAATTTTTACTTGCAAAAATAAACTCTATTCTTTAGTTCACTAAGTTTTCTATTAATTCACTAGGAATAAGATTTAATTTTTATGTAGATTTATATTTTATGAACAAATTGAAAAATATTGCTTATTTCATCATTTTTATAATGTCCAATTATTGTAGGTGACATAATTTTATTTTTATCTGTTACATAATATTTATTTAAAATCTGAAGAAATCTGAAAAGATTTTTCAAGATTGAATTTCATTCAAATCATTTCTACTTAAATTCTTTTTCAGAAAAATAATATAGATTTGAATAATTATTGGAATAAAAATCATTAAAATCAATATACTTAAAATTGTTTCTATTTAAAGTGATGTAAATAATAAAGATTGATTTTTTTTTTTAAATAATAAATGGTACATAAATCGATGACTAAACAACTTTGAATTTATTTCTGGGTAAAAAATATGTTTAGTTGCATTTTTGAAGTGTTATTCTTTTGTAGAAAGATATTAAGAAAGTTATAAAGACTATTATGTAATGTACAAAGCTATAAATTGAAAGATATATGATTTACAATAAACTTACTTTCATGATTTAGAAATATTTACAATAAAACTAGTAACAACATACAAATATTAATGAAAATTCTTCCTAGCTACAAATGGTTTTATTATTTTTACATTTTATTAATATTGTACATGAAATATCATTCATTTATTTTTAGAATGAAAAAAATATTTTCAAGCAATAAAAATTACATTTAGAAAAGTTTTACTTCCTAAGAATTTTTATATTCAATAAAGAATTGCAAAATGATTAATTCAAATATTGCAGATAAAAATTTATCTTTTGATATTATTAAAATAAATGAAATAAATAAATTAAGTATTGTAATAATTATTTATAATTTTTTTCTTTTTCTCCTTCTATACTATTTAGTTTTACAAATCAATATTGTTACTCCATTAATCAATCTTGCTAAAATTAAGTGAAGATGTTCATTATATAAGTGACTACATTACTTTTCTCAGGTCAAATTATGCGATTTTTCAAAACATGAATTGATATAAATGAGTACAGTGCTTGCTAATTTAACTCTACTTAAACTGGATTAATTTTGTTCGTTTTCCCTAAATATTTCAACAAAACACAAAAAGAAATCATTGATTATTTTTTAAAACGTGAGAAATTTGTAAAATCAGTGTGTATAGATTTTAATGTGAATAAATGTATCAAATACAATCATGCATCATTTAACATCCATGATATTTCCTTTAAAATTGGATGTTGTATAAACATCATATTATATATGAACTTAACAAAATTTGGATTGTATATTGTACTGTACCTGTTTTGACTAAATAGCCAAGGTACTATACGCACAGTATTACTTAAAATGTTTATTATGTAATTATTCCATATGTGTTGTAAGATTTTATTGTTACAAATAAATTTTATTTATTTTAAATCTGGGAAAATCTGAAAAACTTTTGCAAGATTTTCTGGAAACTTTAAATTTTAGAATCTTGTTATGCTGGTTATACAATGAACTTTATGCCTGACAGTGCAATTTCTTTTCATACAAGAGATATGAGATTGGTGTCTCCAAGTCCTTAACAAACTCCTATACCAACCACATTTTCTCACTAGATTAGGCCAACATCTCCAAGATATTCACAGTGATAAAATTTACTATTTTCCAATAATTTTATGGATCATTTACATAGATGCATCAGATGTTATGCAGAATGTCACTATATTTGTCTACAGGTATTTTTGATTTTTTTTCCTCTAAATATCAGGAATGGCCAAACCTTGATATGATAAGAACCGTAAATTGCCTATCAGAAATATACAAGTGTTGTTGAAACAGTATTTTATATTATATATGGTTAAAATACTAAAGTTATCACTGTTCTGTAGTAAATGTCACTGTTATGTCATTTTACTGGAATTTTATAATTGGCTAGGTAAATAAATATTTAACTTATTTGATTTTACAAACAAAGACTTAACTTTCAATTGACTGTTCAAGGTTAAGTTGCATGTTTCATTTACAATCTGTATGTATGTCACACTATATAATAGAAAACTTTCAAAAATATTACATACATGCAAGTAAAATGAATTAAGTCCATAGAAAGATACAAGTATATGAGAGCTGCAGTTTTATCACTCTGGTTATATGTAATCTTATTAATTACTTAATTTTTTATTGAAATAAAAATATATATAGGAATATTTGTAACACAATCCTATTATCTTAGTTTTATTAAGTTACCTGTTATTTCTATTTTCTCTAATATATTTATGCATTTATATTTATTTATATGTTTATATATTTATTTGTAAATTTATAAAGGTTTTTCTTTATCTTGCAGGTCCTACAACAGTATTATCAGAGGGACTTAAAAATATAATTCATGGAATGGTTAAACATAATGTTAAACGTATAACTTGCTGTATATCAGGTAAGTTTTTATGTACAAAAAATTGCCAATAAAATCTTAACCTTTCTAAGATTATTAATGTTTTTACAGAAATATAATTCATTTCCTCTCCAAATAAAGTATAAATGAGTCTAATATCAATAAAACTTTTTTAAATATTAATAAATTGTCAATTGTCTACAAATGCCAATACCAGCAAAAATATACTGTAAACTAACATTGTATACATAAGATAATGGAATGAAACAAGATATTTGAAGAAAACTCATATATCTTTTTTTTTTTTCTCTGGTTATTCATGTTTACAGGGTGATTTATTTAAATATTAATTTCTAAAACTTACATTAAGTTCTGTTATTTATTATCTTTAATATTAAAGTAATAATTAAATAATAAAACTACATCACACATTTTTTAAACATAAAACATTTTATTTTTTTGAAATAAAACAAACATATTTTTAAAACTTTCCTTGAAATAAACAGTTGTTGTAATTTATGGATAAAAATAAAAACTAAATTTTTGTTGATAGGAAAGACAATTATAGAAATGTTTGTATTTTAAAATTTAGACTTTGCACTCAATTTTAAAAAACAAACATTTCTATAATTGTCTTTCCTATCAACAAAGATTTTTAAGTATTGTTCATTCAGCATTATACACATGACTATTGTTTTCTTTTGCTGTAGATGTTTATATGTGCTGTTAAGATTGAAGTTTTATATTTGTGTTTTCATTGGGTGAAATGGTTTTTGCACTTTGTTTTTGCTAAAATTATTGAAATTTTTTCTTTTTGTTGAGTAAAACTTATATAATTAACTGTCTTTTATGTACAAATCTTAGGTCTTTCCACAGTGTTTGAAGGTATTCTTAACTTATTATAAATTCTTGCTTCTTATAAGTAGATGAGCCTAGTTCATTTATTTCAAATAAATTAATACATATGATTGCTTAAATATTTTGTTATAAAAATTTTTACTTGCAAAAATAAACTCTATTCTTTAGTTCACTAAGTTTTCTATTAATTCACTAGGAATAAGATTTAATTTTTATGTAGATTTATATTTTATGAACAAATTGAAAAATATTGCTTATTTCATCATTTTTATAATGTCCAATTATTGTAGCTGTTATTAGTTATACAATTTTGTTCTAAAAAATTAAATCTAATTTTTTGCTTTTATTACAGAAAATGCAATATTTAAATTAATTTTCAAAAAATGTGGATATTTAGTTACTTGATAGAAATATTTGCTTTAATAGAGTTTAAAACTTAAAACAAAAATTAAATTTGAGTGCTTTCTGTGTTTTGTCCATCTCCAGGAAATGCTTAGGCTATGGAACACCATTACTTTGATAACACATTACAAACTACATTGTAAGGAAGCAGTTGATAACATATTACTATAGTAATGGTGTTCCATTTTCCAAATGTCTTAAGATGGATGATAATCCTAAGCAATTGAATTTTTTTGAAGTTTTTAACTCTATTAAAGCAAATATTTCTATGATGATTGAAATTTAAGGAGTTATTTGTATATTGAATCATTCATTGTTTTTATTAATTATTCCAGTAATTCAAACAATATCTAGTTATTTTATAGAATGTATGATTTCATTTATTAGTTTTAACATTTATAGTTTACATGTCATAAACTTGAATTATGAATTATAGCAAAGGTATGATGATATTAATTGATTTTTTGTCAATTATAATTATTTTTTTTATCTGAATCTTATAAAAACTAATTTTGTTTTTAAATCTATTTAAATATCCACTAAATATAGTAATTGTTATTTGCATCTAATAAATTATACTATAACACAGACAAATATTTCTAGTACAAGTGATCCGACAGCTCAATGTCATTTCATTGCTGTAAATAGAATAAATGTTGTACAAAATCAATGAAAGTTGCTCTAGATAGAAACCAAAAAGTTTGATTATAAATTTTTGATTTTATGAATGATTTTATGTTCAGTGCTATAAGTTCCAACTGTGTCATTTCAAATTGGAAATCAATGAGTTAAATATATGTTAGGAAATATTCATTAATTTCATTACAGAAATTGATAATCAAATTGAAAGGTCATTTTCTAAATAAAGAAACATTTAATAGGAATTTTATTAACAGTTTTAATAGGAATCTGAATTTTGTAGTAATAGATATCAGCTCATTTGGACACAATACTTTTAATAAAAAGAACCAGTGTTTATGATAGAAAATAATATAATTAGAAAATTTACAAAAAGTTTAAAAAAAAGATGATATATTTAATTGTCTCTACATTTGATCTTTTCTTCACATTTCAGGAAATAGTAGTCTCATGGTGGAGTCAATCTTTATTTGGACAGTTCTTGTCTGCATAATATGTAGAACATTATAAACTTCCCTCTGATGATGGCACAATTAAAAAAGTATTTGATAAAATTTCCAGGACAATTAGTATACACTTATAAATTTTATAAGAAATTTCCAAAAAAGACAATGTATTAAAATGTCTTTACATTTGAATAAAGGACAATCTCTTCATTGCCCTTTTGTCTTTATTTAAACAGACAAGAAGACTGCAAATAAAGATTGACTCTTCCATGAATCCATTATTTCCCAAGGTGTGAAGAAAGGATGAAATGTAAAAACTTTTTCAAATGGATATCAGAGAAAGTGATTTTTTTCATTAATTATTATATTTATAAAATCCATAGTTTGACATTAAATTACAATAAAAAAAATGAATGTGATTTGGAAACACATAAATTCAATGAGATTGAAGGTAAGAGTTGAATAATTACTTCATTTCATTAAATTTTTATTTAATAAAATGAAGCAATCATTCAATTCTTAATTCTGATTAATAACTCTAAATAATTCAGCCTTTTTTCAAAGGCTTTTTTTTTTTTTTTTATTAAAAGTACACTCCATGCAGTGGCATAGCTACATATTCAGCACCCTGGAACAAGTAGAATTGGTGTGCACCCTTGTTCCTCGGAAGAAGTCTCACGAAATTTATTTTGAACATTTAATTTAAAAACATATATCTAAATATTTCGATTTAAAACCTTTCTTAATAACAATTTGAGATTCAAGGCATTTCAACAATGAGATATTCAATTTAATAAATATAAATGTAATAATAAAACACTTTAAGTATGGAGTACCTAATAATATTTACTACATAGTATATAAACTGTATTGACAAAATATATGCAAGTTTAGTTTTATAAGAAATACATAATAGTACATAAAAAAACTTTAAGATTGACCAATTTGCAAACAAAAAAGTGAGAAAACAACAATGGCTGGGTTCAGCTGACCCAACAGTTGTAACTGAGCAAATCTTTGGCTGTTGCATAGCAACCTGGATCTGCTGAACGATGAATGACGTTGTGTTGGAACAAAAAGCCTCATTGGTCAGTTTCAGGTAGCAAAAGGTAGCGTAAATAAAAGATGCTACCAAATGTGACATCAAAACACCAAACATGTTCCAAAAGAGCACTACTGTAGAGGGCATTCAGCAGAAAAATACTCAACAGTTCTGGAACTATTGAGTATTTCAGCACCCTGGAATGTAGCCATTCACTTTCTCTAGATCAAGTTGACAAGCTATTGTCCTTTTCAATTGATATAATAGCCAAAGCTAAGATGGCATTGTGACATGCTGCTTCTTAAATAAGTTTTGATTAATTTTAGTTTTGAAAAACTTCATTCTGCTTTTGCTGTTGTTACCAGTAAAGTTAAAAAAATGAGGCATACTGCAATAATGTCAGAGAACTTACTTGAGGCTGCGGTGTGAATTAAAAGTAGTTCGGCAACTTTGCTTATAAAAGTAATTTCTTTTATCTGAGTATAATTTTTTACAATTTGAGTCACATTTTAAATCGAAGCAATTGAGGTTCAAAAACTAGGCAAAATATTGGAGGGATATGATGATTGTAAAAATTCTGATCCTTCCAGAATATTTTTATCAGATGACGTGACAAGATATGCAGGTGATAAGCACTTAAAAAATGTACATAATTGTCAAACGGATTCAAATCTAATAGATCATTGAATAATTATTAAATCCAAAAAATGTTTTTAAAATGTTTTTACAAGTTCTTATTTCACTTCTTTCTAACTTGGTGCCCTCGTAATTCGTGTGCCTGGAGCAGTTTGCTCCAACTGCTTCATGGTAGCTATGCCTCTGACTCCATGTCATCAGTATCCTGACTGTAAATTTCTGCTTTCAATGCTTTCAAATGTCATTAATTAATGGATGTTTATGCCATTTAGTGTCAAAATGTTGCTGTTTTTTATCATCTTTATCTCTACAATTTTAGAAGTTTTAATCTATTTAATATTTTTAAAAAATAAATCTACTCATCTCCAGAATAAACAAACTAATTATTCAGACATTGTCATATGTGATATGCAATTGAATTGCAACAGATAGAACTAAAAAGTAAAATAGAAAATATATTTAAAATACTTTCTACTTTTAAAAATGCTATACTATAAAATTAAAAAAAAAACAGTTACATGTTACATCCGAAAATATCATTTCTCTACCTTTTTTATAATCTGTTTGCTATAATTTTGTGATTATCAGCACAAAACCTTTCTCACTAACAAACCTTTCTTAATAGGCCTTCCTGAGGAAGGCCTATTAAGAAGGCCGAAAACGTTTGTACTCCAGTTAATAAGGCTAGAAATTAGTGAGAAAGGTTTTGTGCTGATAATCTTAGAAATAGTTCTAGCTACATATGCATAGTAATATAATTTTGTGAATCTTCTGCAAGAAATAGTATGCAAAAATTCAGCACTCTTTTTTAACAGTTGTCTCTGGGACTAAATTTACAATTATTAACAGCTCTTCACAATTTTATTAGGACACTGCTGTTTCATTCTACAGTGAGATAGGTAAAGTGGAGGGATACATTTTGTGGAGTATGGTGACAAGGTGGTCTCTTTCCTTTTTCATTTAATACATGAAGTTACAGTGAATGCAGTATAGTTGTCAAGAAATTTTGCAGATAGATTGAAAATGACAGTAAGGTTTTAATTTGTAATAAGCTGGCCAATTGGGCCTGGTTATCAAGGAATGCACTGCAATAAAGTTATAATCTTCTCAAAGAGAGAAAATTGCCCTATTTTGTGAATTAAGTAATTTTAATTGGGCCCACAATTGCTAAGGCCATCCATATCTGTCTAAAACTTCATTTTTTAAAATTTAAAATTGAAAGTCAAAATAATTTTTCTTTTATCAAAATAAAAATAATAAAATGAATTGTTAAGAACATATTAAAATTAATATACAAAATTTCTAAATACAAGTTTGTTAATCAATTGAATTCAACATTTAAAGATTAAATATTTTGACTGTTTTGAAATTTCTGTATTGCTTGACATATATTCTAATGATAAACATACATCTGCTAGACACAATAATACTTCAGAAAACAAAACAATCAATACAAATATCAAAGTTTCAAATAAAATAAAATAAAACAGTGATGAATGTATAGCATGATTATTATTTTAGCCTCTTATTTATGCATGTTACTAAAGGTAAATTATAAACTTGTGAGCACTATGTTGGCCTTTCTTTATTACTAGACTTATTACATTGTCACTCGACATAAGATCAGTCTTCAAAAATCACTTTATTTTAAAAAACGAATGCATTTTGGACCTTAAGTCCCTCATCAGCTTTTTATAATATAAATGTTTATGAAAATGATACTACCACATTTACAAAATGTACAGTAAAATCACAATGTTTGATAAAATACCGATGACAAATCATTGCAGATCAAAGTTCCAGGTGTTTGCTTTCATTTTATAAGATTTCCTAGACAAGAAACATATCATAGTATTTATAGGATATTAAGAAAATGCCTATATTCCATCAAAGGGGAGAAGACAGGCAAGATAATAGAAAGTCCAATGCATCAAGAGAGGAAATCTTATAAAACGAAAGCAAACACCTGGAACTTTGATCTGCAATGATTTGTCATCGGTATTTTACCAAACATTGTGATTTTACTGTAAATTTCGTAAATGTGGTAGTATCATTTTTATATATATTTATATTATAAAAAGCTGATGAGGGACTAAGGTCTGAAATGCATTCTTTTTGAAAAATAAAGTGATTTTTGAAAGCTGATCTTGTGTTGAGTAATGGTGTAATAAGTCTAGTAATAAAGAAAGGCCAACATAGTGCTCATAAGTTTATAAACCAAGACTAGACATGAAGCATATCATAGTGAAGGTAAATTGTTATGCAGACACAGAATTAAGCTTATAATTTCAAAATTTATATTAAAAAAAGGAATAAAGGATTATTTTTATTCCTTTCAGATAAAAATATAAACTTTATATTCTCATAAACAAAATTCGTAAGTTTATCTATTCTCTCTCTCTCTCTCTCTCTCTCTTCAAATGATGTTCTCCAAATTGCATCCCTCTGGCAAATGTTTACAATATTGCTGAGCAAAGTGAATGCAGAGATTTTTATCGACTTAGTTTTTGATAATTCTTTCCTAAAAAATATAGTCTAACACTTCATTATACTTGTTTTTAATCAAAGCTTAAAATATTAAAGAAGCAATCTATATCAAATTTACTGCACTTGAAAATATTTTTGATAACTTTTTTCTGATACATAATATTAGATTAATAAATTAATTAAATATGTATATTTTCTTTAAGTTCTAACATAATACATTTAAAATTTTATTTATAGCTTTCCTGTTTTGGGAGCGATCAAAAGTACCAGAGATGTACATTCCACTGACCGAAGACCACGAACGAATGCTAAATGTACTTAAGGCTAGTGGCAGAGAATGGGTAGCCCTTTTTCCGCCACATATAACAAGTAAGAAAATCTCCTATTCTCTTATTTAAAAATATATTTTAATCATTAGTTTCCAAAACTATAATATAATCTATGTGGACATATAAATTTGTAATGTAACAATATAAGTTGTAAGAAATGATGTAGTTAAGAGGAACATCTCTCTACTAAGAAGACCACACAGATCAACAGATACATTCCAGTATGCATCAATCTCAGATGCAACCATAGGACTGGTAAGCAGTTTAATAAGCTTTTACCAGAACATCTGACAACTAAACAAGATGATGGAAACAAATGTACTGTACTATGTTGGCATTTGCACATTTATTTTATCAAAATAGTTTTGGGTTAATACAGATGAGTACTAAAATTGGTGTTAATAATGTAACCATGGAGGCATCTTTGTTGCTTTGTCAGCACTTGCCATATCCACAGCCTGACAAGTGCTATGTGCACCAATTGCTACACTGATAAAATCGTTGGTGAATTTTGGAACACATTTTAGTACATCATGGTTCATTGACATTCAATGCATATTGGAATGTACCCAATGTGTTTGCTTGATGCATGAGATGTTGTAGGCATGCATTGAACATACACTATCAAAATACACATGCCATTTTCATTGTATATTTCAAGCGTGCAATTTCAAAATGTGTACATAATTATTTAAAATTACAGCGATTTGCATATTGATATCTTTCCATAAATTTGTAACACAAAGTGTGGCACATAACTGCTTTCAGATTGTTTAGTTGATTTCTGTTTGGATTCTAACTGATTTCATAGGTATGGTCCAATCCACAGTAAGGTCTTCCAGACAAATGAAAAAAAACAACCAAGTTACTCAAAAAATAGAACAACTCTAGGTTAGAGCTTATTTAAAAAGTAGAAGAAGCCACTTTTATAGGGCTAATTAGTCAAAGTAATCGATTTTTGATATTATTTGGTACAAAATTTGTCATAAATCAATATTGATGTAAATATATCATCTGTTATTATAACATATTGCTAATATTCACTTTGTCTTTCCAATTTAAGATTTTATAAATACAGGCATACCTCGACTTACGTCGTTTCGAGTTACGTCGTTCCCGATTATATGTCGCTTGTTAAAAAAGTATATAAAAAAATAAAAATCAAGTTTAAGTCATTTTATTCGACTTTACGTCTGTCCGCCACAAATACTGAAGTCGTAATATTACTAGATAAACGTTTAAAGCACATAAAATCATATTAAAATATATACAAGTATGTACTGTATTTACAGTACTGTACATGCATTCGTAAATTTAGATTACTTTTTTTGTACTATATTAAAAACTAAAATTTATTTGTTTGTAANACGTTTAAAGCACATAAAATCATATTAAAATATATACAAGTATGTACTGTATTTACAGTACTGTACATGCATTCGTAAATTTAGATTACTTTTTTTGTACTATATTAAAAACTAAAATTTATTTGTTTGTAAGCTTAAAATAGATTTTTATTAACCATATATTATTAAAAATGCGTTAATAAATAAAATACAGAACCGGGAATGGTAATTTACGGTTTAGCCTAGTGATAAGTAAATTCGGAGACAAGTAAATTCGACTTACGTCGTTTTCCTGGAACCAGTTACCGACGTAAGGCGAGGTATACCTGTAGTAAATTCCAAAATTTGAATGAATGCTTTTGTCTTAATAGGTGAGCCAAGCAACCAACCCTATATCCTGAAGAATGACAAGCCTTATGGAAGAATGATTTCAAAGTACGACCTGGCAGAGATCATGGTAAAGTGCCTCTCCGATGAGGAACGCATAGGACACACCGTAGGAATGGGATATGAACCCAAAAGTTAAAGGCAGCGCTTTTATATTTACAAATGTATCTGGTTCGATTTTGCATTTACACTTATATTTCTGTAATTGGTAACCTACTCTACAAGCAAATGTATTCATGAAAATTGAGAAAGCCCAGATTATGGAAAATATATATCACTAGAATTTAACAATATGATATTCATGAAAAGTTACTCTTGAACATAAATTGAACATTTATAAACAAGAAATGCATATTCTAAAACATGCAAAAAAATTATTTTATATAAACATTTTGAATATATGTTTAATAATTGTTGTTGAGAACAAAAATTTACATAAAATATATTTTTATGTACAAAAATTTGATATCTTTATCATCTTCATACCAAGATGTATATTGTTACACAAGAAGCTACTTGAACAAATATCCATTACTCAGCAGTTTAGAGAAATTCTTGGAAAAAATACGACAGCTACTTAGAGAAATGGCAAACTTTTGTACGATATTATAAATATAGGGTCCAAAAATTTGAATATATAAAATTGCCATTTAAATTTTATTTGGGATCAAAATGATAGTTACTAGTTATGCAGTATTATATACTATATGCTTTGCAAACATTTATTATTGTTATATAGTAATTAGTGTAAATAGGATGGCCCAAAAGTTAATCAACTGTTGTTAAATACTAAATAGAAATTAATTAATGGAAGTGACTAAAAGAATATGATTAATTCTGTTTTTTTTTTTTTTTTTATCAAGAGTTTCTGCTAATGTTTTAAACTCTGTTTACTCTTCATATTCACAAATATACCCAAACACAAAACATTTGTAACTAACTTTAGGGCCACCCCATATACAAAAGATAGCAGGTAAGAATCTTTGAGTAATCTGCTTGCTTGTTTGTCAGTGCCAAATTGCACCAACAGCTTTTGATCTATCATGATTGGAAAATGTTAGTTTTTGAATTTTGTAAACATATCAGTAAAGATTTGTATACTGACCAATTGTTAGATGGTCCCGACAGATGTCACAGTTTTTTCTATATGAAATAAAAGACATGCTTTTGTGCCGTTGTTGCAACAATACGAAATTTTTATTACTTTAAGAACAATCGACAGAAATTTCTCATAGTTTCTGCCACGCAAACTCGCAGAATCTACGTTACATAAAAATTTCACCCACCCATCTGCATTCGTTCCTATTTATTTTGAATATTTCATGTCGAGCTAAGAGAAAATGAAGTTTAATTCGGTTGCTGCAAATTGGAATCGAGAGAAATGGAATCTATCCGTGCGTCACCTTTTAAAGTTTTTTGTTTCAGAGATGATTTATCAGAAAAATTAATGCATCCTAATTAAATTATCTATTTGTAAATTTAAATTTTGAAAACATTTGAATCCGTGCCCAAAATAGGAAAATGGATTTTAAACACGCTAATTCGAAAGGTAAGTCGTGTTTCGTATACCACACATTACACGCTACTGAGAATCTCAAAAATCATATTTCGGAGTCGCGGAACTGCAAAACGCTATTCATTTCAGCGCTCAACGTCCGAGGGTCAATTTCCAAAACAACATGCCAGCCAGCCTGACATGGCAAGGGAGTCCAGACTCGAATTTTCATGGAATCAAAAGTGTGCCACCGACCATTTCCATTCTTTTGCACGCGGGTCCATCGTATCAAACTTCCAAAACGAAGGTTTTCCCGTAATGAAACATTGGGACGCTTTAACAAAAGACACTGGCAACCATATTTATTTCAAGCATTTAATGTAAACAGTTTACATAACAACATACACATCAATATATATAATAATAATAATTATTAGGTTCATAAGTTTTCCCCTATTTTAATAATACTTNTAGTTTATATATATATATATATATATAATATTTTTTGTTTTTTTAAACTTTTTTACAACAACTTTATATATATATATTTTTTTATGAAAATCATTGCAAAAAACACTTCACTTTTGTTGTTTTTTTAATTAATTCCCCATTTGATTATAAACTTTTCACTTATAAGAACGAGTGTGCAAGATGCCAATTAAGCAATATATAATTTTATTGCGTCATCAACAACTCTATAATATAATATATATATATTGCACCGTTGCCTCGAACAAACCTGCAACAACTAATGGTCGATTATTATTTACATTTACCGTCTACAATATATATATAATTAATTCCCTCCTTAGCTAATTAAAATATTTTATTGCTATATATATATATACCTTTTAATTATAATTAATTGGTACCGAGGAAAAAAATAATAATTAAAAAATAAACAATTCTAAACGAAACGATACCGACATCTAACGGCGTTTATTAGTACGACTCGCTAAACTCGTAAATGCCGAGTTAGTACTCTCTAATTGGTCGAGACGGCCGATTAGGTATCACGTGACATCACTACCACGTTAGCGTCGATCGGAGTAGCTCCGTTAAGTGAGCAAATAAAAATCTCGTAATTAATTAATTACTTAATTGTCTTCGGATTCGTCGATGAAGTTCGATCTGCTGCTCGATGTGTTTCTGTAGGCGCTCTCTGCTTTTGTTCTTTATCGCCCAATGATCCCTAAGACGACGGTTTGCCTTAAAAAAGTTGAAAATAGGGATGAGTGACGTGACGTCATTAATGGCGCGCGATTTTTACTAATTCCTTAATCAATTGCGTTGTCGATTTTATCGCGTTGTAGATGACATCACTAATTAGCACGAGACGATCACGTAGCGGTTCCATGTTGTTAATCGCGATTAACGGCGTGATTACGAAAGCCGATATATATATATTTTTTTTATTTATCGGGCGAGATTTATTTTTAGAACAAAGCATATCTAAGTTTTAAATCGCGCGCTGTTATTAAGTGCCAAATAATTTAAACGGGCATTTTAATTGGTTTTTACGTAGTTTCGTGACGTCGACGTTATTCGCCCAAATAACGAACACGATTTACGGCATTTTCTTCCCGACTTCTGCGGTGACGTCATGTAAACGGAAACGTCACGATTGCAAATTTAACGCAATCGAACTTTAAATTCTTCTACTTATCTCTCTCGTTTATAGAATATTAATTATAAATACGCCTCAGACGTCATTTCCGCCGAAGAATCGCCACCAGACGACAACCCGTCCTTTCGTCACGTGACGCGGCCATCATCCGGGATAGCGAAAGGACGAACGGGAGCCGCCATTTTATTAGTCGAGCGGCAAGATGTCGTTGCTACGAAGCCTAAACGCCAGCAGGGCCCTTCTTAGGGCCTCGTCGAGCCTTCAGTCGCGCGGATACGCCAGCGGTCAGATGTCTTTCACCTTCGGATCGCCGTACGAAGTCTACTACAACAAATCGAGCGTGAAACAAGTGGACGTCCCTTCTTACAGCGGTAGCTTCGGCATACTTCCCAACCACGTACCCTGCTTGGCCGTGCTCAAACCAGGAGTGGTGACGGTGTTCGAGGAGGACGGAGCCACCAAAAAATACTTCGTCAGCAGCGGTTCCATTACCATCAACGACGACTCGTCGGTCCAAGTGCTGGCCGAGGAAGCGGTGCCGTTGGATAGACTCGACCCTCAAGCGTGCAGGGAAGGACTTTCCAAGGCACAACAGGAACTTAGCACCGCTACTAGCGAGGAAGCTAAAGCGGAAGCGCAAATATCGCTAGAAGTTCACGAAGCTTTAGTCAAAGCCGTCGAGTAAAAAGAAATGAAGTAAAAAAATTGTAGATCATGGTTTAGTACGTAATAAATTAGTTTGTATCACGTGATCGGTGTTCGAAACTTCTTAAAATAATTGTCGTGTGTGTGTATTTAAGAATCGCTTATCGCAGGTAGACAGTTGGATATAAATACGTATCTATCGCTTAGATATTGACGAATGGATGAAAGGTAAAATGTTTTTTTCCACCTCCTCTCTCTTCTATAAATTCGTTGTGAGTTTTATAAGTCGATAAAACCGTAAATTGTTAATTCTCTTGTTAATAAAATTACGATAATTGCTATAAAACAGTGCTTGTTCTGTAACATTTTTTTAACGTGTGGAGTCGCGTATACTGTGGCGTCCTCTCTGGACAATAAATGACAACGATCGCTTCCGAAAATAATAATTTTAGATTTTATGACGCGGTTAATTCATTTGTAATTTTATCACCTTACCGTTTTAAAACTAAAATTAATATATTTCCGAAAATATTCTATTAAAAAATACACGGATCCGCTGCGAATAGTACTTGATTCGAATGCTCTAGAATGAATTTTCGAACACCTAACATTAGTCGCTGTTAATGTTTAAATTCTTGTATACGTTTTATAACTGGAAAGTTTGCAGTAGGATTTTACTAAAATGCTTTTTTTTAATGTTCTAAAGCGTGCATTTTAAATATAATAATAATGTTTGAATAAATTTTGAACGCAAAAGTAATTGACTCCGATAATCGCAGTCGAATAGCGAGCATTTACGAACGCACCGATCGTTCGCCAATACTATGAATAGCCGAAATCTGTTTTTTACTCGACTATATCAGCTATTATATTCTATACAATATATAAAGAGCATTGATTTTAATGAGGTATTAAACTAGAAAAGCCATTTTGACTTCCAAAAGTTAAAAAATTATTATTAATTTACGTGCGGTAAACGGAGCATTTGGAACACGAACCACGCCGTTCGGAAATTAATACGGAATTTCATTTTGCATGAAATTCCGAAACTATATTCGAAAAAGTATCGAATAAATGTATTTTATTAATAAAGAAATCGATCGATATATGAGACTAACCTTTTCCGTTATGTCTTCCAAATCAATTAATTCCTTCTCTAAATCTTCGGATGGCGCCATAGTCGAGGCGACGTTATTCTTCGATGGACGGCGCCAACTTTTTGATGTCGGTTTATCGATTCCTGATTGTGATACGTGTATATAAAATAATATATTAATACATTCAGCATTCAATTATATATGCTAATTGTATATATATATATATATATATATATATAAATTAAATTTTTAAAAGTTTCTGATCTAATCTGGCAACACGATCACATAAATATGACAGATTTACAAATAAAAATTGAAAAGTGAAGTGATAAGTAGGGGGCGCCACTCTAAATGAACCTAATACGAACCTGACGGCATTAAACGACGGGGTGAACGTGAATAAGTGCCGATTTTTCCCTTTTCGCGTACTAGTATGACGTCGTTAGATTTCGTGTTTTTTCTCGCATTGTTCTTCACCTTCGTCTGTATCGATTTATTCCATTTGGGTTCACTATCTTCCGGGTTGGAGGACTGAATGATTTGATTTTTATGGACTTTTGATTTCGGTTTTTTCCGTCTTTCGTTCTTTCCATTTATCTGTTGTCTCGAATTCTGAAATAAAAATTTGAAAAAGAAAAAAAGCGTACATTTAAATTTTCAAAATGGAATTTAATGAAGCGTGTGACTTACATTAAAACCGTGCCAATTTTTTTGAATTTTTAAAAACTAGTGTGATAAAATTTATTGACGCAAGCTTGTCCTAATGGTAATAGATACAACTTATTTTACAGGTTTAAATTCGCTTAAATGCTAATAATTTTGTTTGAAACTCAATTTCTAAAGGGTGAAATAGATAAAAATGATAATTTTACTCATTCAAACTTTAATATTGAAAGTGAGGTGATTGTTATACATAATTAATTTAATTTTGTAAATTTTAACCCTGACTTATTTAATCCGCTTCCATTAATACTTATTAAAGCCGATTTCTTTTAAATTGTCGAATTTACTCGGAAAAAATTGAAGTAAAATCCCATTTTTATCATCGAATTTAGAATATCGAACGGAAAATCTCTCACGGATAAGATAATTGTATTTTATATGATAATAGTGAATATTCAGAAACTCTCTGGCTATTTTCCAGCATCATTTCTCGTCTAGAAAAGAAAATGATAGCAAAATTACGCAACACTTTCAAAATAATATTTATATAAAACATTACGCTATACATTTTATTTTTGACCTAATTTCGGGGGAAACCTTGGCCTTACTTGGTTTTTATTCAATATTTTATAAACAAAATAATAATGCTTTTCAACGTCGTTTACAACTTCGATATAATGCAATTTATAAGACGATAAATTTAAATGAACTGCTTGAAATTTTACCTGCTTTCTTCTATACTTCTTATTGTCTTCTTCTTTTGGATTCTCCACTCCTTTACACGTCACGGTCGAATTTTCGCAAAGTTTCTCTTTAAGAAAAAAGTCAATATCGTTATTATGAAACCATAAATAATAAGAAAAATATAGGACAAATCGTTAATACATGGCGCCTCCTCATACATTATCTTAGACATTAAATTATGTTTTACACATATAATATTGTTCCATTTATGTAATTAATATAATAAATCAACATACCATCACTTTTATTAACGATAAATTATATTTAATGTCGTCTAACTAGATTAAATTATATTTTACAACGCAGCCGAAGTGACAGGTTAAACTATTCATTCTATACATAAATTTATCTATTATTAACTGTAAACTATTCTTTATTTTGTGGAATAATTTGTAATTAATATCGTGTAATAAATACGATTCGGGAGAATTTGTTATAATAATAAAATTTAATACAACTATTTTTAAATGAATTGTAAAACTTACTTAACATATCACCGAGTTTTGCATCTGCGCCATATTTCTCTGCTAACTGAATAACCGTTTCTAATAGTTTTTCTTCTTTGGAGGATTTGTTTGTATCGGTTTTTCTATTTTTTCTTCCTTTTTTATTCGATAAATCACTTCTGGACGGCGGAGTGGTAGTTTCTTTCCAATCTTTGGCGATTGAAGGAAGAAATTGTGTTAGAAATGCGCTTTCGACTTCGGTTGACGAGCGATGAGTGGGATCTACTGGCATCGATGAGGGATAGAACACCAATTTACCATAAACTACTTCGGGTGAGGTATCTTCGTCCGAGATGCTATCTCTTTGCGAGCGTATCAGCGAATCCTTCTTCACCATCTCTTCTTCGTACTCCTCAGATGATACATCATCCGTTTTCGGCAAGTACGACTGATCGATATTTGCTCTCGGAAATTGCCGTAACAATTGATTAAGTTGTAGTTCTAAAGTTGTTTCCTTATTCAAAAAAGAAAAACGAATAAAGTAAACGTTTTTAAATCAATAATCAATTTTAAAACGTGTTAACCTAAAACTTAAAACACGTGAAAACACATAACAATTGTAGCAGACGAATTTTAAAAAAAATTCGTCTGCTACAATCTGATGTAAAGTAATTATTATTATTATTATTATTTACATAAATAAAAACACAAATAAATAAGTTTAATTAACTTCTAAAATGTTTTAATTATAAATAAATTCAAGCAAAACTTCGTTCCAAAAGATGGCGTCGTTTGCATGGCATCATACAACCAACAAAACGCCCCCGCAGAAAAAGTTATTAACTTAATGAAAAATTCGTTTAAAATTAAATTAAAAATACATATATTTTTCTCTTTATATTATTTCATTAAAATCATATTTCCCCGATAATCTAATTAATTTAGTGCGTCATTTAAAACCTAATTTGCCGTTTTAACTGTAAATTTGATGATGTAGAAGTTAATTGCGTGATTAATTATTATTTAATCGAGTTAAGAGGAGAAACGAGGGTGAATTATGCTACTTAATGCATCATTTTATCGCTAATTAATTAATGATACGTACTTTTCTAACGTCATCTGCATGATTCACTTGTTGATTAATGTGTCTTGAGGAAACTGTTAACACAAGTAAAAAAAATTTAAAAAACGTTATTACTCATTTAAATAACGCGTATTAAATTATTAAAATTAATTCATAAAAAATATATATATCATAATAAATTTCTCATACTAGAAGGGGGAGAGAGAAGAAACAAAATTTTATCTTCGCCATCTATCAACACGGAACTGAACTAATTCTATTAGCGAAATTTTGAAAAAAAAAAAATCTTCTTGTTTAAATGAAAATAAAGTAAAGTGATATTATTTATTTATATTCATTTTTAAATATTTTAAAAATGATTTAGAAGCATTTTGTTGACTTGGATGTCGTCTACCTCCGCTTATCGAACTGGACAGAAATGGCGCCGGTTTGTCGGACAATCAGACGAAATGGTGGGTCACATGACCATTGACAAAACACCAAAAAAGAACTTCATTCAATGAAGTAGACGGTATCAGTGTCGAAGTGTTTTATTTATAATAAATTAAACAACTAATTTAACGTAAAACTTTACAGATTCCCCCTTTTTTCTAAAAAAAATTTCAAATGACCGTGTTCGTTTATACGTCATTAATGACATCACATTACATACGGTCAGTGACGTGATTATACGTAATAATAATGATAATAGTAAATCATATTAATATTTAGTAATGCTAATATAGTAACAACAGCGACATCTCATTTATGCGTGAATATGTTTTTTTTTTTTTTTTAATTTTAAAATTATTCCGAGTAATTTATAAGACAAATTTACACAATAATCTACTCGAAAAGATGACAAATTACGATAGACGTAAAAGTTTAAACTGCTTAATCAACGTATCGGAGTGTAGAAAACATTTTTGTAACTACATCCTTTAAAAATCATCCTGTTACCATGACAATAATCTGGCAGTCGGCCATATTTTCCCGCCTTCAAATTTTATATTTTTGGTAACGGTTTTTCTGTTCGTATATTTTGACGTAAATTGCCACGTCCTCAGCGCGTCACGTGACCCCAGAGGCTATCATCCTCGGGTCAGGTGACCTTGTTCCATTTTTCGCGAATTTTTGCGTGAAACTGTGTATTTTCTCTCTCCTTTTCTTTTTTTCTCTCGTCCCACCTACCGAACAAATTATTAAAAAAACCCTCAACAAACTAACTCGAAGAATTTTAAAGAAGAAAAAATATATATATATATATTTCTGAAGGAGGGGGAGGCGAAAGAAAATTTTAAAAATCTTTCGAACGTGTCTCATACACAAACAATTTTAAAGTCTAATTTTTTAAAATAATTACCTTTACCAGTATATAAAAATATCAGAAAAAAATAGAGAATTTAAGGTGTTATTTAACGTTTTAAACGCTTTTTTTCGGTACAGAACGAGAGAATTTATAGTAAAAAATACTCTAAAAGTAACTTTTTAACATTAAATTTCTAAGTTTTGCTGTTTAATGGACTTATAGTAACGTTAGTAACCTTCACTGCATGACACAAATGTCACGCAACGAAGCTTTACCTTCGATAGAATCACAAAGAGTAGGAAGAGGAGGAGGAGGAAGATGAAGAAAAAAGTTTATAATAGAAAAATATTCATACAAATTACTCCATTATATTATATTATATTATATTTATTTATTTATTTGATATTTTATAGTGTTTATTTTTAAAAATTTCGACTTACCAAATTTATAAAACATCATCCACGTGAATAAAATAATAACAAGTTTCATCTTTTCACTTCTCAGATCCGTCACATCAACACAACATCCTCGTGCGATATCCCTCCTCCGCTTCTTCTGACGTCACCGGATGTTAAACATACATGCGCATCCCTTAACCAATCGTAAGTTGATTGTTGTGAGATTTAAAAATTTAAAATTTGATTCTAGTTATTATTAATAATAATAATTTTTCCGTATATTCTTCGCTGTTTAAAACAAATTAAAAAGAAATAAATACTTTAAAATTTACTTAAATAAAAATTTTAAAAAATTAGCTTTTTATTGAAATTTTAAACATTTCAAAATGTTTTTTTTATTTTCTTTCTTTTCATGAAAAAAAATAAGTTTTTAATTCGGAAATATTTATATTTTTTAAAATAAAAAAATAAAGTATAAGTTATTTAAATTGAAAAAAATTCATAAAAATTATATTTAAAAGTTTTATATTTATTTAATTACGGAAAATTTTTGAAATAAGCTGCAATTTTCCGTGCTGCCATCTGTTATTAATGCGGGTAATTAATTGTATTCTAAAATTAGTCATGTTAATTAATTTAATATTTAAAAAAAACCTAAAATAAATAAATAATCGTATGTAAAAACGAATATATTTTTAAACGTTATAAATATTTAAATTTATTACCGTTAGAGAATATAATAAAACTATGATACTCGCTTAAAGTTTGGCAGTTAATTTAAAATTTTGAATCCCGTCTGTCTATTGGTTGTTGTATAATTTTCAAATTTACATCTTTTTATTTTTCTATTGGTTGATTAAATATAGATTAATTTATATCCAGTTTTAAATCAACCAATAGATAAATATTAATTCTTTTTACTCGTTTTTATTGGCTCTTCTTTCAATTATATTATTTTAAACGTTAAATTTAGTTCAAAATAATTTAGCATTTAATACAATTATAACTGTATAGAATAATTAAAGAATTACAAATAGTTTAACTTAACAAAATTATATTTTTAAAAATGGCGGCTGCATGTATAGTCAATCATGAAAGACATAAATATAAAATACCATGTATATATGTAACTAGGTGAACAATAAAAATATTTTACTTATTCATTTATTCATAATGACGAAGGTTGTTATAAGACAAGTGAATATTTACATATTTATAAAGTAAATTTGATATAGGATAAGTCAATGGAATACTTCGATTGTTTGGCATATTTGTTTGTGTTTCTTCTTATGTTCGATCTAAACTATTTAGTGATAACGACACGTAGTTTTATATTCTATACTATTTAATTTTATGGCCAAAATTTAAAAACTATAGAACAGAAATGAGAGTCATTTTGTAAACAAATTAGTTTAAAATTTATACAAATCCCGTCACAGAAGGTCAACAGAGTTATTTCATTCGAATCTGATATTTAATGGGTCTGAAAAATTTTTAAATTCTATTTTTATCAAATTTTATTATTTAAAAAATATAGTATAATTTCTAACGTTGTTTTATTTATTTACTAATGTACTGGAGACTTAAAAGATAAATGGTCCAATCTTATTTCTGACAGGCCCAGGCTCATCTTAAAGCAAGAAAAGCAATGTAATCTCACGAGAATAATACCATATTCATAAATTTTTCAGCATAAAATCTATCAAGATATAGCTTCAGAGGAAACTGATACCATTGAAACATTATTCGCATTTTTCATTCACCCTACAGGACAGTCTATTTATTTCTACATCCCAATGCCAAAATATTAATTTTATCATAGACTAATTTAGGCCTTCATAATTTGAATTGATTAAACATACAGGGGGCTCAAAAGTCATCAAACTGAGATTATATTAATTAAGTACACTTGGTTAACTAACTTCTAAGCCATTCTAAAGTTCTAAAAAAAATATTATTTAAATACAGGTACTGTATTAAAAAATATAAAATAATTCGTAGATTCTTGTGATCTTTAATATTATACATAAATTTATTTGTGCCCTGTGTTACATCACGCATGGTATTATTACTCTGTGTACAGTCCTGATAATACCTGAGCTAAAAAGTCTATTTCTTTTTTAAAATTCTTAATTAAATATAAATTTTGTTGGCTTATTAAATTAATTAAAAATTTCTCTAATTGACATTTGGCATTTTCCAATTAATCAGAATCTATTGTGAAGTGCATTATAAGTTTTTAACCTTTATCTTCACCCTCAACTAGCTGCGTGTGCCCGGTGTTATTCGGGCTTTTCAGGGGGCTGGGAATTGGTAAAGTTGAGTTGGAAGAGGGTAATAAAGACAATGGCCTTAGTAACTAAAATATACATTTATTGACCTTAGTATGTATTTACAATGATGTATTTACAATGATGAAACTGCAAAACGCAAAAAAAAAATTGCTCGAGCTTAAGTTAAGAGGGATGAACTTTATGAATGGTTGAAATACCACAGTATTTTTTCTAGGGTATTCATACCAAATTTGTTAAGGATACATTGAACGGTATAGATCCCCCTGCCTAACAAAAATACATATTTTGACTTTTATACATATAGAGATTAACAATTTCTCAACATGTGAGAGACCATTAATGATCACTAAAGTTTATTTTTACACAATATATTAGCAAAAATCTGAATTTAAATACAGTTTTTGTATCCCTTTCCACATCATTTCATACACCCTTATATAATATAAACAATGGCATTATAATGCTAAAAAAAGTTATAACATATTTGTTTAATCTTTAATATTTTAAGCAAAACACAAGATTTCTGTTAGTATTTGAAGTAATGTTATCAACAGTTTGTGTATTAATAATTATTCTAAATAAATCACGAGTATCCTCAACAAAAAACTTTCTCGTGAAGAGTGATAACAATTTCTTCTTATCTCTTTTTGGTTAGAAATGGAGAAAATATCTCAAACTTTATTTATTCGATCTCAGATAGCGTTGATAATATAAATGGAATATGCAAATATAGTAAACAGATGAGCAATAAAAGTGTTTTATGTATTCATTTATTCATACTTAAAACGTTATGGATTTGTAGTGTACATTGTATATGTTTATCAAATGAAGTTTCTTGATAAAGTGATATGATAGAAAGAATGGAATTCTAAACTTTTAGGTGTATGTAATAATATTTCACTACGTTTGATAGATTAATATCCGTTTGGCTGTGGATTTCTTATTATCAAGACGATTGTTTTCAATTCATTTCCGGTTTTGTTTCGCTTTTCAGGCCAAATTAGGACATGCCATTTGTCTTTGTTCTTATATCTCTGAAAAAGATAAGAAAATAAAGAAGAATCTTCATCTCTTTCTCTCTACCAAATAAGAAAAAGATGAGCAATACAAGCATGGAACATCGTACGAGTTTGTTGATAAATCTTTAATGATTGTATATATAATTAATCTAAGACCTATCCAGAAGTTTTAGAGATTTAACATTTATTATATAAATGAAGGATGAGATGCTCAACATATCAAGATGATAAATTGCCGAAAAGAATTCATTCAAGAAAGAATGGGGAAATACTTATGAGGGGATCTTCTTTGAAGATTATGTGTTATTGGACTTAAGAATTGTAAAGTTGTAAGTTTAATTCTAAAAGAGCATAATGATTCGAAAAAAAAGCATTTCAGCACGTACAGTAATAGGCTACATACTACGGTAAATAAAGCATGATAAATGTGTGAAAAACGTGTATGTCTTAGAAAACGTTTTATTTAATGTAAATTTATCGTAAAAATCAATTAATCGACGACTGAGTACCGTCATCAACAACTCGTAATTGCCAAACATACACTTGATGGATGACGTGACTAAACTGACTAAAAATATTAGAAAGCAACAATCTGTGGTAATAACTCTTGAAACTACTAAAATAAATCGTTCTTTATTAAAAATAGAAGAAAAATACATTGAAAAATTTGTTGTAGAATAAATAATTCTGTTCTTCCGATGCTTCTATTAAATTCATTAAAAATTACTGTAGTAATTTGAAAGCTTGAATTCGAGCAAATACGAATCTTATAATTTATAATTAATTAATGCATAATAGCCTAGTAATGTAGAAAAAGAAATAAAATAAAGATTTTATTTCTTTCGGTTGCTCTTCGTTCGTTTTCGTTTTTTCCCGTTTCTCTTTATCGTTTGTTCTCGCGATTTTCGGCTCTCTTTTACCGTTTTTGTCGTACGACGAAAATGACAAACGGCAAAAACGGAAAACAAATTGTGAATTCCGTGAATTCTGATACTGTACTATTGTAAATTCTGATAAAAGTTTTTATTTTATACGCTAATCACATAGAAAAATTCACTAGATAACGTGTTAAATCACTGTAAATTTAGTCTATTGCTTTTGAGGAATACAGTTTTATTCTTCTTATCACATAAAGAATTCCTGTAGTTTTCAAATGACTATACACGAAAAAATATAAAATATGTCATACCTTGGAAAGCAATATAGCTTATACGAGTCTGGTGATCTTTTCGGTTAGCTTACAACAGTGGTTCTCAACCGGGGGTACATTCACCCCTAGGGGTACGAGCGTAAATCGAAGGGGGTACATCTAACTTTCATTATAAAATGACGTATGTTAATCAATTTGCTGTAAATTATTAACACAAGAAACAAAAAAAAAAAAAACGACAAAAACTTGCTTTAAAATATCCCAGTATGAATACTGATTTCCCTTTTAACAATCCAAACAATTTGTTTATCCACTTGATTTGCCCGTCTATTTGTATCGTTAGTGCCAAGTGAACCTGTAGTCTAGTAAAATTACGGTTTAACCGAGTATTAATTTTAGAATAGAAAAAAAATTTTTATTCTATTCTATAATTATTGCTCAATAAGATTGAGGCTTTTCGTGTTTTTACTGGACTACTGGTATTAGGAATAGCGAGACCTGGATTGTACCACTACCATGCAATGCGTCACTGCGTGCGCGCATTACAGCTGTCCCTTGATAATCCGACAGGTATGGGACCAAAGAGGTGTCGGATTACCGAAAGTGATTACATATTTGGCATTGTTTTGCTAGCAGTAGCCTACAATATTCCCTACTCCAACTGTTCGAATAGAACTGCTCACGGAAAACATAC